GATATACTTTTTATTGCCTGTGAAAAAGTATTTGTACCTATGCCACAGAGCAGGGTGGTCCCACAGAGAAAAGGGATTAAAACTAGAAGCAGCTTTTATTAGTTACAGACATCAGACAGACTGCTGACGGGTGTAATCAGAAAGACTGCACACTGGGAATATGATGAGGAGTGGCATGAAGATTAGACCCAGTGCTGTACGGAGTGATACCATAGGCCAGTGATGGCAAACATTTTAGAGACCAAGTGCCCAAACTCAGTGGCATTCCTGCACTGGGTGCCACTGGGTGCCGGGCATGGGACTTTGAGGGGGTGGGACTTAGAGGGTGGGACAGTAGCTGAAGTCAGAGGTCCAAAACACACTGCAGAAATAATCCAGTCTGAGACTGCTTTAACTACCCTGGCTCAGTGATAGGGAATCCTGGGAATTGTAGTTTATTGTGGCACCAGAGCTCTTTGGCTAAATATATCACCAACCTATAAATCCCAGGATCCAATAGCAATCAACCCTGGCAGTTAAAGTGGTGCCAAACTGAATTATTTCTGCATTACGGATGCAGCCCTAACACCAACGGCTGAATATCACTATTTTGTGGATTTTTGATGTTACCGTTCTTTGCTGTATGGCCAACATGGTGTAGTGGTTTGAATGTTGGACTGTGGCTCAAGAGACAAGGGTTTGATTCTCTGCTCCGGCAAGAAACCCACAGGGTGATTTTGGGAAAGTAACACTCTCGCCGCCTCAGGGGATGTCAATGTCAACCCCCTCTGAACAAATCTTGCTAAAAAAATCCTGTAACAGATTTGTTGTGTGGTGCAGCAGTTTGAGTGTTGGATTAGTCCTCTGGGAGATAAGGGTTCAATTCCTCATGAAGCACCAGAAAACCACCAGGTAACCTTGGGCAAATCACACTTTCTCAGCCTCAGACAGCAATGGCAACCCCCTCTGAACAAGTTTTGCAAAGAAAACACCGTGATAGGGTTGCCATCAGTCGGAAATAACTTGAAGGCACACAACAACAATAAAAAAATGAAAATATAAGTATATCTTCTATTTATATTTCCCTCTCCGCTGCTGGTTCCCCCCTCTCCTTCCTCCTTCCTGCCTCCACCACCTGAAAATTCCCCCTCCTCCTCCTCCTCCTCCTCTTCCTCTTCCTCCTCTATGCCCTTCACCACCTGCTGCTTCTCCTTCCTTCCTTCCTTCCTTCCTTCCTTCCTTCTCCTTCTCCTTCTC